TCAGTTCATTCAGTCTTACAAAATTCATTCTTTATTTCTTCTTTTCATTATTATTTATTTATTTTTAGTTAGCATCCATCACCTCAGAGTTGTGAATTTCTTTTCTCCTTGTAATGAGAAATCTTAGGGTATACTCTCTTAGCAACTAAGAATTATAGCACACATCAATGTTAAGTATAAACATTCCATACTATGCTAAATCAGTAATACTTATAATTCATTCTTAATCTACTAACTTTGCTTAACAGTCTCATTAATATACCTGAAAAGGTACATAGGTGGAATCTGAGGAATCCTGACTTAGCCTACCAGTACCAAAATGACATCAGAAGCTTAAGACCGCAAGGTTATTCTTTGAAGCATAAATATTTTGAAGTACCTGATACAGTCCTTTTTCATGGGGCTCTGAGACAGTCTCCTTTGTTCAATACACAGTATTTGACAGATGACTAATGAAACAGCCTTCAGGCAGAAATCAGAATAAACTACTGGTAGACAGAGATTTTATTAATCTCTTATTAATAATTTCTAAATTTCAAAGTTCTAACAAGAGATTACAGGGGAGAGAAAAGTTATTTTTTCTATTACCTTCCTAGATTTCTGGTGGAGCCCTGTCTATTAGACAAAGCAAAAACAACAGAAAAGCAAACATAACTTTATTAGCATGTGCATCATGCTTACATATGGGAGCACCTAGAGATGAGTAACTCATACAGGTGGTGAGAACTTAGGTTTATGTAGAATTTTAAGCAAAGGAAAGGAAAAAGGAGTTTTGGACTTCTGGGCAAGGGAAGGAAGGGTATGGTGAGATCACTAGGGAAAGTATGCTAAACAAAGCTTGGTTCATTATGTTGGTTAATCAGTCTTGTAATGCAGATGGAAGTCAATGCCTTCTCCACTGGTAAGAGTTATTAAGAGTTCTCTTATTCCTGATAAGATATGAATTTCCCTCGTAAAAGGAAAACTTGTGCTCTGTTTTTAGAGCTTTTCCAATGTCAGCCAGCTTTCAATGACCTTTAGCTAAAAATAATTCATATGCCAAAACAGCATATTTGTGTGTGTGGGGGCATATTCCGATATCCTTCAAGATCATAACAAGAATGATGCAAGATCACTAACAAAAATATTTGGTTGTTTCTGTATCATGCTAACAATAGAGCAAGATCAATCTAAAAAAACAAGTTCTACACAAAATACACAATAATATAAATATTAATCCTATTTCCAAAAAGGAAAGTGAATGCTATGTCTGATTTTTAAATGGAAAAACATAACTTTTAGATAAAGCATTGGAATAAGACATACAATAATCATGAAGTAAAAATATATACTATAACATGAACACAGAAATCATACACTTAAAAATATATTCAAGAATATATCAAGTGACAAGATTAAGACATCTATTGTATTAAACTCTTTTGGTAAGTTGGATGAGTTGTGAACTGCTAGAAGACACTAGTTTCAAATTATAAGTTGCTGCCTAGTTAACACTTGTTAACATACTGATGAGGTTTAGGACATTCTATCCCCAAAATATGGCACCCTGGCATGTTGAACATCTTAAGCAGAAAGAAATCAAGAAAAAACAAATAAGCAGGAAGGTCCCTCTGATAAGCCAACACCACATTCTTTCCTGAAAGCAGGAAATGAATTTCCTAGGTGAAAGATACTCTTTGTACCAGGAGGAATGAAGACATTCTTAGCACAGAAACAGGGATTTGGGGACAAAAAAAAAAAAAATCTATATATACAAACCTTGTTAATATAACCTTTATCTTCCTAGTTACTTCTTTACCATTTACTATCCTTAGTACAAACCCTTTTGTCTTTCCAAATTCTTTACAAATGTATAGATTAGTTGACAAAACGTATAAAAGCTTCCTGCTCTGGTCACTTTGCATCTTCAGTTTCTTGTGAAGTCTCCTATGTATACGAACATTTTTAATAAAATATTCATGCTGTTTCCTGTTAGTGTGTGCTTGTCAGTTTACTTTTTAGACCAGCAAGGGACCCTAAGAGGGCTGACAAAAACTTTTCCTCCCCTACAATGTGCCTGACTGATAACATTATACATTATTGCCTAAAATCATCAGACCAAATACCACCAGGAATCTGATAAATTTACATGAACTCATTGAAACACTATTTCAACACTTTTTATGAGTTTAGTCCATATTATGAAAAATAAGAGAATTGGCAAATCATCAAAACTTTCACAAAACCATATAATTTCTTAATGTTTTAATTACCTATTACATCTATAAGTTTAACCAAGGAAAAGCTGAGCATTTTTCTGAGTTCTCAATTCCTCCATGCAACCCATCATCAGAAACATATCAAATAAACCTGATTATTTATAGCATGTTTCTTTTTTAAGGCTAAAGAATATATCTTTGTAAATTTCCAGAGGTCCTCTAAAATATATCAAAGATAGTATTTGGTACAAGAGACATCCTCTAATTTTAATTGAATTGAATTTAAATAATTAAAATCCAATTTGGGGAGCAGAAATCAACAAGTTGTCAAAAGATATTTGAATATTTTATTAACATAAATTGTGGGTTCCTGAATAAAAATTGGACCCCTATTTAATGTAAATATCTATAAAACCTTTAAAAATAAGCATAGAAAAAAAAAACCATGGCTGTAAAGAGAATAGTTCCTCCATAAATAAACAATCTTCATTTTCTTAAATAATTAAAGCCATAAGTATTAAGGGCATGCTTGTGTTCTCAGTTACTAAGTCGTGTCTGACTCTGCAACCACATGAACTTAGCCTGTCTAGCTCCTCTGTCCGTGGTACTTTCCAGGCAAGAATACTGGAATGGGTTGCCATTTCCTCCTCCAGGGGATCTTCCACACCTAGGGATCAAACCCAAGTCTCTTGTGTCTCCTGTATTAGCAGGCAGAGTCTTCACCACTGAGCCACCTGGGAAGCTTATTAAGTGCATAAAGCTACCCAATCTTTGCTATTTAGACAAATTACACACCCACACACACACACACACAAATTACAACTTTTCATATTATAGGGAAAATCAATAGTAAAATCAAGGAAATAATTCTATCACTTTTTGCTATATCATTTAGTAACTTGGCAGCCTATGCATTTAGGAATATTATGTGTGGTCTGAGAACTTGCTGGGTTGCAAATTCACATGGCCAAGGGAATCATGAAGCATATATATATACTCAGTCTTGATGTTAAAAAGGTATAAACAGTCCGTTTTCAACATTCTTCCAAAACACCTTTGATGACCTAAAACCTGAAGGCTTGAACTTCGGGAATCATAGAATTCAGATCACTGGATCTCAATGGAAAGAATCTTCTAAGTTACTCTGAGCAAACAGCTCAGCAGTAAAATTTCAAGACCAGGCTCCTAAGATCCATGTTTTCAAGTTATAGACACAAATCTTTAAAAATGATTTAAAAAATGTACCAACTACACACCTCAAACTGTGGCTACTTAAAGAGTTTTGGTATGAGAAAATTGTCAGAAGACTGTTATAACAAGACCTTTGTATGAAGCGACTGACAGTACAAATTACACAGCTTCCACCCTAGATCTTTGCAGCAAGCCCATCTGTATGCCAAAAGCCATAGATTAACATTTTCTTTTGTCTAGCATGTTAACCTTTTAGTCTATATCTTTCCAATTTGCTGCTTTCACGGTATTGGATTGCTGATAACTTAATTTTTATTCCTTAAATTTGTTGAAGAGAAGTCCTTTAAATATTGTAATATTCTTTTTATACTTCCCAAAATGTACGCCAAGAGATTATCACACATTTTAGCTACAGCTTTATATCCTGTGACTATTATTTTTAATATCTATTACCTGGTTTCTCTGGATAAAAATCTAATCTCCATTTTTCTAAACACTGCAGAATATCATTGACTTTCTACCTGACACCTCTGGTAAATGAAAGAGTCTCACATTATTTATGCCAACATTCAGTCACATTAAATTTGGGCAAGAAATAGTAAAACATATCTTCAAAAAATAATTACAGATCTGTTCATATGGGCTGAAGACACAACAATGTTAGGAACAAATATTTTTCTTTTTGTACTAATACATTTATTTTGCTTAGCTATTCTCCATCCCTACTCAGGCAATATTTTCCTCCCCTAGGAATAAATCAATGGAATAAACACTTGTCACATTAAATGGCATCTAAATTTAGGTTATATCTCTTTAAACTATTATGACTTCATTTGTTTACCACACACAAACCTAATTTATGCCTAAGGAGTAATTATTAAAAACTTTTTCAGACAAGTAAGACCCTTGACACGCCCCTCCCAATTTTATATTGTTAGATTGCCTTGTTTAGTCCCTAAATCCTGTGTGAGTCTTTTGCAACCTCATGGACTGTAACCCACCAGGCTCTTCTGTCTATGGGATTTCGTAGGCAGGAATACTAGAGTAGATTGCCATTTCCTTCTCCAGGGGATCTTAACTGACACAAGGAAGAAACCCCATCTTCTGCTAAGCAGGAGGATTCTTGACTGCTCAGCCACCAGGGAAAAAACCATACAAAAATATTACTCTGGTTAATTACTCAGAGTAATCAATCACTAATTCCATAAACTCTTTACATTACCTGACACAGTACTTCTCACATTCCGAATAAAAGATGGTTAGAAATTTATCATGAAGCTGAAATCATAAAGGTTCACATGTCTAAGGGTCCAGACATCACGCCAGGCACAGAATTTAGGCCTGGTCCATTCCCACACAGGGCCAAGGGCCTCCGAAGCAAGGTGCTACTTCACTGTGATTCTGACTAGGGATGCTGGAGGGACAGATGTAAAACTGAGGAGGTTTGCGGTTTGCTTGATAGATGACATGCGCGACAAACCTAACAGAGAACTTAAAGAGACCACCGCCGCACACAGCCGGGGCAGCCCCGGCTTTCTCTTCCCAGAATTCCGGCCCTGAGGGTCTGAGATCCCGCGAGATCACGCTTCCTCCCGGAAGTGTGGTCGGGGCGGTGGAGCTTGGAGTCGGATTCAGACACCCTCCCTGCCACCCCAGGCACCCAGGACGTACTAGATGGAGCCACAGTGACTCCTGGGACGCACCTGCCAGCTGCAGATTCCAGCTGTGCTATTTGCCTTCCGGGGACATCCCGCACTCAACCCACCCTCGGTGACCACCAAGGTAGGGAGGGAAAAAAAAAGTATGTGAGCGTGTTATATTTTGTTTTGTTTTGTTTTGTTGTGGGTTTTTGTTTGTTTGCTTGTTTGGCCCTATTGCGTTAGACTGATAGCTTTGACACTGTTAGCCGCCATGGTAGCTTTGCCGTTACTTTTTGTGTTGTAGGCAGGTAACTCCCGAATTAGTAGAAAACTCCATCTCCAGACTGACTTTCCAAGGCTGAATGTATAGAATCTGGAAAATGTTTAGTTGGCCTGGCTTCACCAGTCCTAACTTTGAAATGTTCAACCAAATCTATTCGTTGTGCTGCTCTTAGTCTCTGGGTGAGTTGCCTCCACGAACTATATACTCACTATTTCAGGAAAATTAGATTTCATGATTGAAGATTTTCCATCAGTCCTTTAGGGTATCAACCAATGTAGAGACTTCTATGCTTTTGGTATTCCTAACTAAGAACTTCTGACCCTAAACTATAGTGATAAACTCTGAGCACTCACTTTCAGTAATTTGATACCATTTTAAAATTGTCTTTGTTTTTTACCTTCCATATTTGACTAAGTAAATAGAATTCAGATTGCTTATATCATTACTGGTTTCTTCACATGGGTTGGGCCTTTTCTGTGAATTCAGTAATTAGTAAGAGTGAATTGGGCAGCTGCACTGTATCAAAACATACTAGCATCTTCCATACAAATTTTATTTTTTTTAAAGTTCTGAGGGAAAGTATTTTGGAATTTTGATAGGGGATGAATTGAATCTGTAGATTGCATTGGATATTATGAATCTTTTTTTTCCATTTATTTTTATTAGTTGGAGGCTAATTACTTTACAGTATTGTAGTGGTTTTTGTCATAGATTGACATGAATCAGCCATGGATTTACGTGTATTCCCCATCCCGATACCCCCTCCCACCTCCCTCTCCACCCGATTCCTCTGATTCTTCTGAACCTTTTAACAGTATTATTTTTCTAATCCAAGATGAAGGAAAGTTGCATGGCTCCAGGTAGCCTGGAGTTAAAACTCCCCTCCAGGTCCTCCCCACCATTCTATGCAAAACAAAGAACTCTCTCACAGGAAGGAAAATTGGGCATTAGGTTGATTACACCCACTCCCAGCCAGTCCAGCCTCTGGCCGATCTCCAAATTTCCTTGCCCCAGCTGTTTAAAAGATAACTACTCCGAACAACCTTGGAGAAGAACAGGCCCCCTTAAAACAGTAACTTTCCACATACATGCCTATATACTTACTCATTTCTTAGATTAGTGCAGCAGCTTGCTAATCTGACTGCTGCTCCTTCTTGCCTCATTAAAGATGATCTGTTCCTGTAAAGTGCCCGTCTCATTCTTTTTCTGAACCTCGCCTTCTCTAACTCCCTTACCTTACACAAGAGTATAGGATACCTTTCCTTTTTCTGTGTTTTCTTCAGTTAGTTTCAGCACCATCTTATAGTTTTCAGTATACTCGTCTTTTACCTCCTTGGTTGAATTTATTCCTAAATATGTTACTGTTTTTTATGCTATTATAAAGGAGATTTCTTTCTTAATTTTTTTTTCAGATAATTTGTTGTTAGTCAAACACAAACACAGCAGACTTTTATATGTTGATTTTGTACTCCACAACTTTACTAAATTTGTTTTTGGGTGAATAATTTCTGTGGCCCTAATGTGCAGAATGGTTAATACCATATTAAATATTTGAAATTTGCTGAGACTAGATTTTAGGGGCTTTCATCACACACACACACACACACACACACACACACGTTAAATGTTAAATTTGGTGCAAAAGTAATTGTGGTTTTGCATTGTTGAACTTTCCTGTTTGATATTGGAATACATTCTTACATAAATGTAGTTACGTTATACATCATTTTAATATGCATTTCTTGGTTATTTACTTATTTTTTTCGCTGATGACATTACTTGCTTGTTTTGTATTTATTTTATAGACTAGGGAAATGATGTTAGATAAAAAGCAAATTTGAGTGATTTTCCTTATTCAAGTTCAAAATGGGTCAGAAAGTGGCAGAGACAACTTGCAACATCAATAATGCATTTGGTCCAGGAACTGCTTACAAATGTACAGTGCAGTGGTGGTTTAAGAAGTTTTTACAAAGGCAATGAGAGCTTTGAAGATGAGAACAGTGGCCGGCCCTCAGATCTTGACAATGACCAGTTGAGAGCATCATCAAAGCTTATTCTCTTAAAACTACACGAGAAGTTGTCCAAGAATTCAGTGTCGAATATTCTAAGGTTGTTTGGAAGCAAATGGGAAAAGTGAAAAAACTCGATAAGTGAATGCCTAAATAAGTGAGTGAAGTCGCTCAGTCGTGTCCGAATCTTTGTGATCCCATGTACTGTAGCCTACGACACTCCTCTGTCCATGGGATTTTCCAAGCAAGAGTACTGGAGTGGGTTGCCATTTCCTTCACCTCAATAGCTGACCACAAATCAAAAGTATCTTCATTTTGAAGTGTCTTCTCTTAGTCTATGCAACAACAATGAACCATTTCTCAAATAGATTGTTACGTGTGATGAAAAGGGGCTTTTATATGACAACCAGTGATGCCCAGCTCAGTGGTTGGACCGAGAAGAAGCTCCAGAGTATTTCCCAAAGCAAACATGTACCAAAGAAAGGTCATTGTTTGGTGACATGCTGCTAGTCTCATCCACTGTAGCTTTCTGTGTGCGTGCTAAGTTGCTTCAGTCATGTCTGACTCTTTGCAACCCCATGGACTGTAGCACACCAAACTCCTCTGTCCTTTGGATTCTCCAGGCAAGAATACGGGGGTGGTTTGCCAGGCCCTCCTCCAGGGGATCTTCCTGACCCAGGGATTGAACGTGGGTCTCTTAAGTCTCCTGCATTGGCAGGCAGGTTACCACTAGCGCCACTCGAGAAGCCCATGGCTTTCTGAATCCCAGTGAAACCATTACATCTGAGAAGTATGCTCAGGAAATGGCTGAGAGGAACCAAAAACTGTAACACCTGCAGCTGGCATTGGTCTACAGAAAGGGCCCAGTTCTCCACAACACCTGACTGCATGTCACAACCAGTACTTCAGAAGTTGAACGGATTGGTCTACGAAGTTCTGCCTCATCTGCTGCTTTCACCTGATCTCTCACCAGCCAGCTACCTTTTCTTTAAACATCTTGACAACTATTGGCAGTGAAAAGACTTTCACAACCAGCAGGAGGCGAAAATGCTTTCCAAGAGTTTGCTGAATCCTGAAGCATGGATTTTAATGCTACAAGAATAAACTTATTTCTCGTTCGCAAAAATGTGTTGATTTTAATTGTTTCTATTTTGATTGATAAAGATATGTTTGAGCCTAGTTATAATGATTTAAAATTCATGGTCTGAAACTGCAGTTATATAACACCTCACATATTAGGTTGGTGCAAATATATGTTAATTAACTTGATTGTGGTAATCATTTCATAATGCATGCATATGTCAAATCATCAGGTTGTACTTTAAATATGTACAGTTTTATTTGTCAATTATTCCTCAATAAAGCTGAAAAATTACAATTTCCTTTAAATTATGAGGTAAGAAAATAACAATTTAAAGTTTCTAATTTACTGCTCTTGCCCAGATATTTTACAGTATATATAAATTAGAACATACCTGTAAGAGAATGTTTTGAATCAGATTCATTAAAGATTTCTAGGAATTGAAGTCTTTCAAATTCTGTTCAGATTCACCATATATATATATATATATATATCACTTTATTTTGCTTCAGTTATATCATTATGTCATCATATTCAGCATGAAGTAAAATGCCCAAATCTCAGATTTTGCCCTCCCGCTAAAAGAAAAAATACTTAGAAATACATAATTGCTTTATCAGCTGAAAAACAGATACCCATTACCATTTACTAAATTTGCATGGTAGGTGGTTATTCTTCCTTCTGTTAGTGCTTGGAGCTGTTTACAGACGGTAATAGAGATAAACTATTAGTAATTGCTGTTATAATCAGCTATTTAATTTGGTGAGGTGGTGATGAAATAATAAGGGTTGATGAGCTATTTTGAGATCTTTTCATGCTGGACAAATGGTGGTTAAAAAAAAAAAAAACAACACTAATGAAACCTGTTTAGATGACAAAATCTAGTGTCAAATGAAGGTATGTTAATGAAAAAGTATTGACCTTGCTTTAGAAATGTGTGCAGTACTAATTAATTGAGAATTGTCTGGAAATGAGCTTTAGTAAAAACATTTTTTCCCAGATAAAACCTTACCTCATTAATGACCCTTTTATATAAAAAATACTTTACAGTTCCAGATAAAAATTTAATAGTTTCTTAGTAGCAATTGAAATATAGGTTTCAATAAATGGCTTTTACACTAAGTATTCCCAAACAGCCTCCTTGGATATGCTTTGACAAGTTTCTTCTCTTTTTATCCCTTTTTCAAATATATTCCTCCTGCTAAATTCTAGTCTCTTCTCTCCAAAGGACTTAGAATTTGGAAAATAAAACAAAGCATAATTTTGCCAAATAGGAAACACTGTTGGCTTTAAATAAGTGACTGTGGAGAGTTCCCAGATTTATAGAGCATTGCACTGTGAGTAGACTTAGAGAATTTAAGTTTTGCTTCTCCATGTGAATTTTGAGTATTTATGAATTTCTAAGTTCTTTCCAAGAACTGAAGAGAACAGTTTAGTGAAAGTTAATATGCTCATTCTTACAATTCTACAATCACTATCGCAGATATAGTTTTTGATTACTTAATCATAATTACTTCATGATTGAGGGGGTTAGTTTCCTGCTCCACCTGTTTCAAAGTTCTTCATTGTATGCCAGATGTTGGGTATTAAAGAATAATAGATATTGAAGTAGATAATATTTATCATCAACAAAGACACCCCCCTTTCCTCTATCAGCCCTCTGAAATGGGACCCAAATCAGTCTCATGTGTAGTTCAGCTGAGTTTAGTGTTTGTTTAAACTATAGTTAAATGTAGATCAGCACTGTTGTCATAAACTGTGAATGTAGT